CCCCTAGGTTATTTTTAGTCAACATTAAAAATAGGTATTTCTTCAAAGATCTAGTTATGTCACCAAGAACCACAATTTCTAAACAAAAGGGAAAATTCTTCTAGAAAGACAGAAGCCTAAATACTTTATACATTTTTAAAACTGAGGTATGATTTATATATGTTAACTATATAAATCTTAAGTGAATAGCTCAATAAATGTTTTTATGTGTACATACCCATGCAACCACCATTCAATCAGGATATAGAAGGTTCCCTTGATATTCCCACCAAAGGTAACCATTACCTGAGTTCTAACACCATAGAAATGACATAGTTTTGCCTTGTTTCTCTACGCTTTATATAAATATACATATTTCACATAGTATGCTCTCTCTAAGATGTTGTCTTGGGTACAACATTCTTTTCACTGTTGTATAAAATTTATTAAACCAGTCTACTGTTGATGGACATTTGGATGATTTTCAGCTTTTGGGTATTATGAATAAAATGGATATGAACACTCATATTTATTTATATTTATTTTAGTTATTTTTTGGTGAATAAAAGGCCTTTTTTTTTCCCCCAGTAGTCTCCATACCCAACATGGAGCCTGAACTCATGACTCTGAGACCAAGAGTCATGTGCTCTACCAACTGAGCCAGCCAGCTTTATTTTTGATGGCCATTCTATGCAGGAGTGGAATTGATAGGTTTTAGGTAACATGCATATACAGCTTTAGACACCTTTAATAGATCTTGCCAAGCACCTTTAAAAAGTGCTAGTTCCAGTTTATTATTATACTCCCATTAGCAATGTATGACAATTTGAATTGCATCACATCCACACTAACACTTGGCATTGTCATTCCTTTTAATTTTGTGGTTATCGGGTATAGTGGTATCTCACTGCCAGGAAGTGGGAAGGATCTGGTATTTTATTCTACTTCTAACAAGCCGGGATGGTGGAAAACATGAGACACCTCGATCAGAGATGAAAGACATTTCATTACTCAGAAGAACAGCAAAAGCCAGAGTATCAACAATGGAGCCGCTCTTCTAAGGCAGAATTCCCACAGGCAGTACAAAGAGCTGGGTGATACGAGCAGACGCAGATGGGTGCTCTGTAAGAGAGGCACACTGTGCCTACAAATTACTTTGTGTTTTCCAGGAATTTATAAGTGGAATCATATAGTATATTCTCCTTTTTACCTGACTTCTTTCACTCAGTGTAACTATTTTGAGATTTGTATGTGTTGCTGCAGTATCAACAGTTCATTTCTTTTTACTGCTAGGTAGTGCCCATTGTAGGATATGCTCTAATTTCTTTATCCATCCAACTGTTGGTGGCCATTCGGGATGGTCACAATTTTTGGCTATTAACAAATAAAGCTGTACATCTTTGTAAGAACATATACGTTCATTTCCCCTCTATAAATCCAACTGATTTTTTGACCTCACATGTCTCTTACATATATTATAATCATATTTAGGTATATATTATGTATTATATATATAATCTGGATATTATATGTATATATATATATTTAAAGATTTTATTTATTTATTTGAAAGAGAGAAAGAGAGAGATAGCAACAGAGATAGTGAGAGAGCGCTTGAGCGGGAAGGAGAGGGAGAAGCAGACTCTCTGCTGAGCAGGGAGCCTGATGTGGGGCTCAATCCCAGGACCCTGAGATCGTGACCCAAGCCGAAGGCAGACACTCAACCGACTGAGCCACCCAGGCACCCCTAATATATATATTTTAAAGACTCATAAGTAATATTAACCTTTGGAGAGGGGTACTAGATGGAGAGGGCAGCGGCTCTTTCTTTTGTATTTTTTGTTTGAATTTGAATTTTTATTTGATTTATATATATTTATTATGTAACATATATGAATCTTTAATTTCTAGAATGTGTCAGCAGGAACCACTGGGCAAGGAAATTATGGCTCATTTTTGTTTTGTTTTCTTCTTTGTATTTCTGTATTTAAAAAAAAATCTAATAAATGCTATTTTTTAAGGCAAAAAAGAAGAAAAATCTCCCAAGCCATTTTCTCAATTCTACTGATACCTGGTGATTCACTCCCTATAATTGTGCATAATACCACAAGCTTTTGATGAACTATTTTCTCTAACTCCAGGCTCTCCTCCTTCAGTCCATCCTACATGGATGGGTTTATAGCCATTTTTCTAAACTGCAAATTTGATAATACAGCTCCTGTTTATACTAACTAGCAACAAAATAAACCCAATACTTATCATCAGACCACATAAGCTCCTTGCTATCACCTGCAACATCATTTTCTACTATTCCTTCATTGTACCCCAGGTGCTGGTCATGCTGAAATGTCAAGGATGTGCCAAGTTCCTTAACTTCTTGGTGCCTCCTTCCTCTTTTTTCTGTCCTCCTTGTGACTTCTCACTCATCCCTCTCTGTGATGTCTTCTATTCCTCTCTACCCTCCCCTCTTAAAAGATTAATTAATTAATTAATTTGAGAGAGAAAGAGAGCGTGAGCTAGGGGGAAGGGCAGAGAGAGAGGGAGAAGCAGACTCCCTGATGAGCAGGGAGCCTGATGTAGGGCTTGATCCAAGGACCCTGAGATCATGACCTGAGCAGAAGGCAGATGCTTGACTGACTGAGCCACCCAGGCGCCCCACCCTCTTCCTTTGCGCTCAGATGCTTCCCTCCTCTGTGTTTCTATGGTACTTTATAAATTACTGTATTATAGCAGTCATCACATTGTAGCTGACTATTTTACAAAAACAGCAATGGATGTCAATTAGAATTCCAACCTGTAATTCTCTGTAAAATTCTTATTTTAATATTTGCTGAAGTCAGTGTCCCAAAGAATATGCAAAACCTTACTGAAGTCTAAGTGTAACCACAAATATATTGATGCCTACGAGGGGTAGAGTTGCTAAATGGCAGTTAGCAAAAAATATACCATGAGAAGTAGTTTAGAAGCCCCCAAAATTCAGATTGGATGACAATTCCCTGAAAGTTGACCAATTTAGAAGATTTTATTAAGTAACTAGAATATTAGCTCTTACAAGATAAAATTCTAAATAAATCAAAGTCTTACAATCCATGTAAAAGAAAGAAGGTACTCTTCACCTGATAAAATGTTGCTTGCTTTGCTAAGTTTTTTAAAAAACATTTCAACTGGCATTTTTTACCTGGTGATTAAAATACCTGGTATAGAAAGCTGGGTTCTATTCTTTGTGATAGAGCTATAGTCAGTTTCTTCTATATGTATTAGAGAAGTAACTGGTAACTCATTGATACTTCTGACAGTTGCCTTGTGCTAATTTCTAGAAAGTCATAGTGTTAGAAAACTTTACAGAAAGTGAGGGAAGGATATTATTTGGACAATTAGTCCTGGACAACTCTTTGTACAACCTAAGGTTAGTATCTGCATAACGTAAAATAATGAATCACAGATATTTATGCTCAAGAAGGGCAAAGTGCTTTATAATTTCTCCAGTAAACTAAAAAGAGGACAAGAGAAGCTTATACTTCTGACTCCTACTAAGTGCTCAGTGTCCTTCTACAGTAATAGAGACAGAATTTTTTTTTAAGATTTTATTTATTTATTTGACAGAGAGAGACACAGCGAGAGAGGAAACACAAGCAGGGGGGAGAGGGAGAAGCAGGCTTCCCGCCGAGCAGGGAGCCCGATGTGGGGCTTGATCCCAGAACCCTGGGATCATGACCTGAGCTGAAGGCAGACGCTTAACAACTGAGCCACCCAGGTACCCTAGAGACAGAATTTTCTTAGAAATCACTGCAGCTTAGTTAAGAAGTAAAGTGGGATGTACCATTAAGGCTGGTAGCTATATTTCCTCAATTTTATGCAGGCAAGGATTTAAATGTTTCTCTTCTGGAAAGACTGAATTTGCTTAACGCTTTCTAAGTTAGAGCATTCTAGGATTCTAATATGACATCGTTAGCGGAGATCAATATATTCCAAAGAACCTATGAGAGAAAAGTTTCTGTCACTAAAGTGAATAATCTTGAAAAATTAATACTAAAATCGCCTACAGTTACTGATCTTCCAGATGAGCCATCACCACATAATCGCATGTGATGACTGATGCTGATGGTCTCCCAGAGGATGGAACAAAGAGTAATGTTTTAGAAAAGGTACAAAAAGGCAAGAAGCATCACACTATCATCTTTATAAAATAAATCATTACACCTGGGAAATAAGAGCTCCTAACTACAATAAGTATTTTATTACCCTGTGTCAGCAAGACAAACCTTTCAGACATTCATCAGGCAAATAAGAAAGACAAACATAACTATGATATCGTAGTAGGTACAAAGTCTAGATGATGTTGCATTTTGAAAATGCCAAAATGCCCGACTATTCTGCAAAAGCTCCTGGTCTGAATTATTAAGTAGCAACTTAGCTATATAAACAATATCCTTTGACATCAATTCTGAACAGCTGCTAAAGGATAATGACTCCATACTCCCTTTATGACTGCGATTGCTAGGAGTGTTTGAGTTATTCTTTAGCAATGTAGGTATCTGGTGATTCCTCTATGATAGGATGGCCAGGGTATTGTGAAAATATTGAGCTCTTGGACTAGGAAGTTGAATTCTTGCCTGCATGCCACTCCCTCAAACTATGGACAATGATTTCTGATAATACAACTTCTACTGAAATACACATCAATTTAATGATGTTTTTTAAAACTAACGTTTTCAAAACCTCAAATTGAAATCCTTTCAAAGACTCTGGATGTGAAAAAAATACATTTAGAAATTCAATAATATACTTTATAGGTTTTACTTCTCATTTTATGTATGCTGTTACACATTTTGGGAGCAGAACTAAACAACCACTTGAATACGAGCCTTTCCCCAGGTTCAAAAAGATATATACATGCATATTACCCAAACACAAAAGAACAGCTTAGTCAAAGAAGATGAATGGAAAATTCTATTAAGCAGAATTTACTTTCATTTCAGTATATACACCAGAAAAATGGTCAATTTTTAGAAAAATCTTACCTGCTACTGAATTTGGCCGTGGCATAAGATATAGAGGAATAGACTGTACTGATTGCGATAAAACTGTTTCCAAATTCCTTTCCGGGATCTTATTCAGACTATAGGTAGAAGCTGTCATGTTTTCATCTACTCGATACAAACAGGAATCCATGCTGGATTTTTGAGACTGCCAAGGTTTTAGGTTTCCTCCAGATCCTAATTCTTTACTGCTTTCCCCAACATATTTTGTGCGTTCTACATTTTCAGAATAGCTTGTTAACGTAGCTGAAAAAGAGAGTAAAACAAGTTAAAAATTAAAGAGGGCACGTATTGAATGGAGCACTGGGTATTATAAGCAAACAATGAATCATGGAACACTATATGAAAAACTAATGATGTAATGTATGGTGATTAACATAACATAATAAAATAAAATAAAAAAACACACACACACACACAAACAAAACAAAACCCCACAAACCTAGAGATTAAGCTGTTTACTACTATCCAAATTCATGACTAGCTAATAAGAGTAGTAGCGATACTATTTTTAAAAAGTTACTGATCATTTCATCTCCACCATGAAGTTTAAATAATTGAAAGCACAATATATCTTACATATTTTCTCTCACTTCTCTTATATATTTAACAACTCTATTGAAATGGAACTAAACACATTCATACATCACTGCTAAAAGATCTACAACTAGAGCCTATCAATGCTAAAAATTTCAGAATTTTGTCAAAAAGGGAATTTATATAATTTTCATGGATTGCTGAAGAGCCCCAAAATCTCAAAAAGATCTTTACACTCTTTTTATCCCATATTTTCCCTCATTTAAATTTATTTCCTGACCCCTTATATGTAATTAAGAATTAGAAAAAACAAATGGTCCCTTAAGTAGATATATAGGATATATTGCAGAAATAATCTGTCCAAATACAGGGCCTCCTTGTACAGCTACCCTGTAGCTCTAACCCTAGATGTCCCTGAATGAAATCAAGCAAAACCTGAAAGGGCTTCTAGAATTTTTCTAGTCTTACCACTAATTATTAACAGGACTTAAAAACAAAAATTTTCATCAACCCTAGGAACGTAAGGAATAAAAACATTAAAATAAAGATTATAAAAATCTTAGCAATAATTATAAGAATAAAAGAGCTCATTCCAGGAGAGTTTTTAATATGTTAGTTCATATTTTCTTCTTACATCTTCAATGTACCTGTTGTTAAAAGAAGAGACCTAAGTTTATTAGGTAATTTCCACAATCCCTTTTAGTGAGGTTTTCTCTTTGGAAATGTAAACAGAATTCTGGACTTTGTAGTAACAGGGAAAAATATGAGTTACAAAGGAAGACACCCTGTTGCCTTCCAGCTTTGCTGCTCTTTACAGTAATAAGTCCTCCTTGCATCTGAGAATTAAGTGTTGTCAACTGGTCTCTGTATCCTCACTGATACTAAGGGAGTCCAGTTCCAAGGCAACACCTCCTTGTCAATTCCATCGGAGAGGGCAGTCACCATTAGGCTTCTCAAAGATGACAATGCTCCCTACCCCTACCTACTCGTGACACATCCCCCCCCTTTTTAAAAGATTTATTTGAGAGAGAGAGAGAGAATGTGTGTGTGTACAGGGGGGAAGGGCAGAGAGAGAGGGAGATTCCTCAAGCAGAATCCCTGCTGAGCATGGAGCCCAACCTGGGGCTTGATCCTAGGACACTGATATCATGACCTGAGTTGAAATCAAGAGTTGACGCTCAACTGACTGAGCCACCCAGGAGCCCTGACACATCCTTTTTACATATTGTCCCTGTTATCTTTTTTATGTATTGCTGGATTCAATGTTAGAATTTTGTTAAGGACTTTTATGTCTATGTTCATGAGAGACATTGGTCTGTAGTTTACTTTTTAAATAATGTCTTTGTCTAGTTTGGTCTTAAAATAATGTTGGCCTCATAAAGTGTTCTTTTCATTTCAACTTCCTGGAGCAGTTTGTGTAGAAATGGTATTATGTCTTCCTTAAAAGTTTGGTAGAATTTACCTGTCAAGGCATCTGGACTAAGAGTTTTCCTTGTGGGAAAGTTTTAAATGCCAAATTCAATTTATATTTAACAGCTATAAAACTATTCAGGTTATCTTTTTCTTCTCAAATGATCTTTGGTCATATATTATTTCCAGGAATTTGTCAAATTTATTGGCATAAAGCTGTTCATGACATTCCCTTATCCTTTTAATGTTTGTGGGGTCTGTAGTGATGTCCCTCTTCATTCCTGATATTGGTAATTTGTATCTTCTTTTTTTCCTGGTTAATATGACTAGAGGTTTATCAATATGATTTTCTCAAAGAACCACCGTTCAGTTTCACTGATTTTCTCTATTCCCGTTTCATTGATTTCTGCCCTTTATTATTTCCTACTTTGTTTACTTTGATTTTAATTTCTTCTTTTTCAAATTGTTTAAGAAGTTTAGTTCACTAATTAAATAACTTTCTTTTCTAAAATAAGCATCTTAATGCTATAAATTTTCTTCTAAGCACTTCTTTAGCTGCATTCTAAAAATTTTGAAGTTTTGTTTTCGTTACCACTCAATTAAAAATATTTTTAAATTTCCACTGTGATTTTTTTTGACCCATGTTATTTAGAAATGTGTTTAATTTCTAAGCATTTGTGAAATTTCCTGATATTTTTCTATTATTGGTTTCTAATTTAAACACAGCGTGGTCAGAGAACACAGTCTGTAATGGTTTAGTCCATTTAGCTTTATTGAGACTTGTTTTATGAACCAGAATATGGTCTCCTGGTGCATCTTTTTTTTTTTTTTTTAAGATTTATTTATTTATTTTGAGAGACTGAGAATGAGAGAGAGAGCGAGAGCGTGCACATGAGAGGGGGAAGGGTCAGAGGGAGAAGCAGACTCCCCGCCAAGCAGGGAGCCCAATGCGGGACTCGATCCCGGGACTCCAGGATCATGACCTGAGCCAAAGGCAGTCGTTTAACGGACTGAGCCATGTATACCTAAAAAGAATCTGAACTATGCTATTGATAGGTGGACTGTTCTATAAAAAATAATTAGGTCAAGTTGATTAATGGAATTGTTTAGGTCTTTTACACGCTAACTGATTTCCTACTTGTTCTTTCAACCACTGAGAGATAAAAGTTAAAATCTCTGTGGATTTTTGCCATTTTGAAGCTTTGTTATTCGGTGCATAAACATTTAGGATTATTTCCTCTTGATGAAATGACCCATTTATCATTATGAAATGACCTTCCTTGATAGGTCATCACTGTTTATTCTGAAATCTATTTTGATATTCTTTGTTCTGAAATGGGTGAAAGAGGGAGATGATGAGCATACAGTATGGACTCCAGGACCAGCAGGAGCAGCAGGGACTTAATCTTCATTTACTAATCCTTTCCAAGTCTTTTTGGGAGACTGCAACTGGTCATCTCCTTGAAGAACTGGACTTGGATCTCCCCTCTCAGAAAAGAATTGAGAATCACAGTATCATGCTTCCAGGTGAGACTAGATGCCAAAAGAGAGTACTAATGATTGATCTATGTGGTACAAGAGTTGAACTGGATTTGCCACTCTAAATGTACTCACCTGCCTGTTGTCTGGCTACACTGACCCTAGCAGTGGTGTGGACTATTTCTATGGGTTGGAGCTGGGTCCCTGTTATTAATATCCTGCTCCAGACTGAAGGGTTGGCTATAATGGCTATTCCTGGTCCTTTGTGATAATCATGGGCAGAAGTCAACCATTGTCTCATGTACTGCCATATAGCCTCTCTCATCCATCTCTAGACTTCCTGGTTGCCATGGAGACATGAGATGCAGTAGGGCTACTAGATTCATGCCATAGTAAGAGTCGGGGAAATAGTACCCTATTAGGGCTAACATACCAATGTGAGAAGGGAACTGCAGTAATATCATCTTGTAATTCCCCCTTCCACAGTTCAGAAATGTATGGTCTCTCTGAAGACTTTCAGTAGAATTAAGCAATCACCTCTGCCAGCTCTGTAATTCCCTTCCTTATATTTGCTTCTCCTCTTTTTCTGCCTTACTCCTTTCATTCACTCTTGTTTCCTTGGTTTATACTCCTTTAATATAGTATATACTCCCTCAATATAACCTTTTTGTCTCAGGCTCTATTTTCTAAGGAACCTATGCTAAGGAAGTCTTGTTGATGAAAATGTTGGAACTATGGAATATTCTTCTAGCTAATCCAAATGTTCAAGTCATGTTTCAGTATACAGTCAAAACTACTCACTTTAATTAAAAATTCATTTCATATATTCAGACTTTCAGTCATGAATAGCCCAACAGTTCCTAACCTTTTTGCCATCAAACATAATGCTGTACCTTCCCCAATGAGATTATTATGGATTCCACAGCATTATTTTATAATTTCTAAATGTGTTCAGTGATAGCATATTTATATTATGTGTGTATGTACCTGTGTGTGTTTTTTTAAAGCAGATGTATGCTCCTTATCCTAATTTCTGAAAATTATCTAATTTAAAATATATTTAAACTGTTTTCCAGTAAAATTTGGTAAATATTCAGTAAAAACTGGAAAATAATATTTCATTTGGTGTAAAGATGTGGTGATTCAGCTGGCTTTGTAATTCTTTGCAAGAAGCTTAGAGTTCATACAGCTGAATCATGCTAGAGAATGGAAACTCTTCTTTCCCGGAGGACTTGTCTACATGTAAAATGTCTGCTATTTAACCCCTTACCTTTTATGTTTTTTGGTGTTGTGTCCAACAGAAGTTTTTATTATTAAGTCCCTAATCAAATTTGGCTAAGATTTACCTGTATCTGTGTGGTCTTTGCCTGGTATATATCCCAGAAATACAACCCTTTTCTCCTGATAAATCAGGAGCATATTCAGTATATTGGAATACTACACCTTTACAGGTCTGAGAAAGTAGCAATGGGGTTCACTATTTTCAGTATTTCAAGTAATTTATAAATAATATGTAGCTAGTTAAAACTGGTAGCTGGTTAAAACATCAAACTTCTGTAAACATAGCTAGAATTATATCAAGGGTGATAACAGTAGTTACCTCATTTAAACAGAAGCTTTGGCAGAGATGCATGTTTGATAAAGAAAACATGAGAAACTGCTATAATAACAAATAGAGTGATGCTGAAAATTTTTTCAAAACTATGGGATCTATCAAGAAAAATTATGAAAGTTCTGATCAGTGGTGGAAAGATTAGAGAAATTGTGAGTTAATTTGTGGTACCCAAAGATGGAATTATTCAGTGGCCTAAGGACTCTAA